ACAATGTACACTGCAGATAACTGAAAAACCCAAATGACATTCAGAAACCCAAACAAATCTGGACTTTCTCCTAAAGTTAGCAAGTGCCTGCCACTATGAAGAACTCTAAGGACAAAACATCTTATCACCTACTGATTGTAACTTGATGCGTTCAGTCTTCAGCCATCAGGGCAACCAGGGCAAGAGTTTGTTTAGTGTTGTAAAGGGGAATGACATCTATCTAAAAGGTAAGTGTGAAGTCCTGTGAATATTTCTTAAAACATTTATAAACCTTAAACAATATTCTTATTAAAAAACAGGGAGTATTAATCTAGTGACTTCAATTTAAATTACTGCACAGGTCATAGTGTTTAGTGCAGTGCCACCAGCAGCGATGGGCAGCATCTTATTAGGTGTAATGATAAAGCATTTTAAAACCATCATTTTACTGAAATCTTCCTTTGGCTAAAACATTGCCTGGCAGCCATTTTTCATTCTCCAACTATTCAGACTGTGACACTTTAATGGAAAAAAGATACCACCTGGAGTACTTATTAGCTTAAAAGCACTGGCCTGGGAGCCTAAGAAGAGTCACTGTGTCTCATGGGCTCCTGAGTGGTTTAACTCCAGAGCCTAATGCTTTTTTCTTGAGGGCCTGGTGTAGCCTGCCACTAGGGGATGCTGTTGCTTCTTTGCTCCAGTTCCTGGCAGGTTCAATTCTGACCACATGGGTCTCAATACAAGAGAGAAAAGAGGCTTTTACCCTTCCTAGGTGAGTTTGTTCCTCTTAAGCCTCCGAAGTCAGCTGTATCTGTTGGAACAATTCAGAACAAAAAGAAATGGCTAATAAGTGAAATAGCCTTGTAAAAAACGTTTTCAAATATCTTCTTTTGGTGGACCAGAACAGCATCCTGATATCATAGTGGCCTAAAAGTTTCATTGGGGATGTGGATGTTAGCAGTTTTTGAGGTACTCCTGAGGGAAGTCAGTGCAAGTGGGGAAAAGCTGATGGGTTAAGGAGATGAGGAGATGTTTGTGTCCATGCTGACCCTTCCCCAGTCTGGCAGAGATCTGCTTTGTCCCTCTGCTGATTCAGTTTTGGGTCAGATATCATTTGCCAAGGCATGTCAGTATACCCATTTTGTGAGAAATGCAAGTTCTGGTGTTGTATGAACTTGGAAAATCCTGGGTTGGAAAGGTTAAAAAAGTACTATTGGTGTGGAACATTCAGAACATTTACTTTTCACTGAGCAGAATTTAAGGCTGGGTATGTTCATCAAGAGTCAGGTGGTTTGCCCCCATTTGGCAATGTCTGGAAACAGTTTTGATTGTCATGACTGGAGAAGGGCCTTTTGGCATCTTGTGGGTAGAGACCAAGGATTCTTCTTCTTTTTCTTCTTTTTTTTTTGTACTAGGGATTGAACCTAGGAGTGCCTAACCACTGAGTCACATCCCCAGCCCTTTTTCATGTTTAGTTACAGACAGGGCCTCTCTGAATTGCTTAGGGCCTTGCTAAATTGTTGAGGCTGGGTTTGAACTCTCCAGCCTCCTGCTTTACCCTCGGAGTCCCTGAGATTACAGGCATGTGCCACCACGCCCAGTGAGACCAAGGATTCTAAGCATCCTCCAAAGCATAGGATAGCCCCTCTACTCAAAAAAGAATCATCAGGCTCAAAGGGTCAACAGTTTAGAAGTTGACAAACCCTACTCTATTTTGTACACATTCCCTTAATTAACCACACTTTTTTTGTGTGTGTGTCTTTCAGCACTAGAATCCTGTGGAATACAGACAGGAAAACTCTGTCCTAAGATTACTCACAATGGACTAATTGCAGAGTGGTGTGGCCGTCTCCTAATACTAACTTCCTTTGACCTCCATTTGTCATTGTTGCCTGGCATTTTTTTGAAATTCTCTTGAATTGGTTTGATGTTGCATGGTTTCTCCTGTAATCTTGTTTTCTCTTTTTTGACTTCTCTTCTTGTTCCATGAATGGGGTGTTTCTTGTAGTTGCATGCTTTATTGTGATCCATCTTTGGAAGACTCATTTAATCCATGATTTCTGTTATTTATTTATTTTTTGGGGGGAGGGGGTACCAGGGATTGAACTCAGGGGCATTTGACTACTAAGCCACATCCCCAGTCCTATTTTGTATTTTACTTAGGCAGTGTCACTGAGTTGCTTAGTGCAACTGGCTTTGAACTCACCATCCTCCTATCTCAGCCTCCTGAGCCACTGGAATTACAGTCGTGTGCCATGGTGCCCAGCTTGATTTCTGTTATGTGAATCAGGATCAGTGATTTCACTTATATCCTGTGGATAGCCATGTAGGTGGAACCCATGTCTTCCCAAAGAAATCTACATTTTCAATGATATGTTGAATGATTTCTCCAAGTAAAAAAATGTTTCTTCTCTAAAACTCTTTATCCTTTGACTCATTCTTAAATTCTTCCAATTTTAGTAGTTACAGAGACTTGAAAATCAGACTTGAGACCATGTTTAATCACTAAGCTTGTGAATTTTTTTTTTAAGCTTGTGAATTTGTGAATTCTCCCCCCGCCCCCCCTTTTTTGGTGTCAGAGGTTGAACCCAAGGGCACTTAACCACTTAATCAAATAAAAGCTTTGATTCTTTCTTAAACATGTAGCGTGGGTGAGTTCCCATTGACTGTTAACTAAAGTCTGTATCTCTTATGCTGAAAATCATCCCAGAGCATTTAAACCTCTGTTCTAATGGCTCCTCTGTTGAGGTTCCAGTCAGGAGAAATGCTCAAGTAAGGTCCAAGCTTTGGAGAATGGAATGTGCAAGGTACACGAAGAAAGCGAGTGTCTACAAAACATTTAGAATGAAATAATCTCTGATCAACCAGCAGGGAACAATTAAAGTCCTAAATTATCATAGATGCATTGGCATTAAGCATTATCTAGAAATGTGAGGATATGGTCCTTTGTAGCATATAAAGAATAAAAGTAAAGAAGGATATAGCCCAAGGCTTCCTTTGATTACAGCTCGTAGCCTATCACATGTCTTCAGTAAATATCTGTTGAATTGAGAATGAACAAATTAATGGGTGAGCGCATGAATGAATGAAAAACTATGGTAGCAGAGGCTGTTACTGTTCTGCTAGTACCCCTCCGCACTCACTTCTACATGACGAAGGCAAACACTGCAATTACTTGCCAATCTCTACTTCAGGGTCTTTTTTCTCCTTTCTGGCTGAGTTGTGTGCTAGGAGGCGGAAGTGCTAAAGAGCCTGTGAGTTGAGAAGTGGAAAAGCCACCTTCACCCTCTATTGAGAGGCTGTCGGTGGACAAATATCCCAGTTTCCTCATCCTTTAATTAGGCTAACCCTGTGACATGCTCTGTAATATCTCCTAGAGCTCCTCCCTGGGACTGAGCTCCAGTTGACCACAGTGGTCACTTGCTTGAGGAAGTACTCTTTACTGACTTTCTTTCCTTCCCAGTCTCACTTCCCCAACCCCAGCAGTGCTTTCTAGGATTATCTCTCAAAACAAAAACAACAACAACAAAAAA